CACGCCCTAGAGGGCCGTGAGTGGGCGCGCTGCCAGTCGGGAGGGCGGGCCGGGCAGGGCAGGGCCGGGCAGGGCCGCCCAGCACCGCACTTCCTGCAGAGGGCAGCCTGTGCCCAGCAGCCCTACTCTGGCTAGTAACTGTGTCCTCCAGAGCACCCCGTTTGGATACGTCATGTGGACGTCCCGCACGGAGGGCCCCCAGGGCCTGTGCAGGTCCCGCCCCTGCCCCCATGTCAGGGAGTCTCCCTGTGGGCCTTCCAAGCAGCACCCCGGCCCTGGCTGGCTTCAGTTTCCTCCTCTGTCACGTGGCAGATGCGACAAGCGAGCACCCGGTGGGGAGGGGAAGGCAGGACCTAGTGGGGGTAGCCCGGGTAGTCCCCACCGTGGCCTTCCCATGCCCCCAGGTGTTCATGCTGCAATGTCCCCTTGCAGCCTGAGAGGATCAACCCAGAGCTGAACCAGAAGGGCTACAACGTCAAGTCGGACGTCTGGAGTCTCGGCATCACCATGGTACGGCCGGGCCGGGCCAGCCCCCAAGGTCAGGTGGGGCTTTCGGGGCATAGGTCAGACCCTGGGAAAAAGCCCCAGCTTCAGAATCTAAGAAGCGTGTTGTCAGAGAGACAGGCTAGCAGGTGAGGTGGAGGTTAAGGTGGCTGGATCCCACATGGGTGATAGCAGGTTTGAGCCCTGGACCCAGTGGCTTGAAAATCACATTGGGCGTGTGTGTGCGCGTGTGCCCACCTGACATCTCAGGAGGGGAGTGGAGAAGGGACTGCAGCGTGGCTGCCCCCCCCCGCCCCGGGCGGGTGATCACTCATTTCCTCTGTCTCTCTGGCAAGGGCGTGTGCCTGACAGGTAAAATTCAAGTAGTGGGAACCAGCAGTTAGCGTAATGGCTATGTCGCTGGACTCCCACATAGTCAACCGCGGTTCGCGTCCCGGACCCAGTGGCTTAAAACTCACGCCGGGCACGTGTGTGTACATGCCCAAGATCCCGAGAGGAGAACGGAGGAGAAGGGATTGCGGCGTGGCCATCCCCCCTGGGGGGTGATTTCTCACTTTCTGTCTCTCTGTTTCTGGTGAACACATGCACCCTATAGCAAAAACCTCTCAAAAAAAATAAAGGAAAAGTCCAACAAAATATATATAAAAAAAGGAAGAGAGGAGCCAGCAGATGGTGGAATGGTTATGTTGCTGGACTCCCATGTAGTCGACCGCAGTTTGAATCCTAGATCCTGTGACTTAAACCTCATACCATGTGCGTGTCTATGTGTGCCCAAGATCCTAAGAGGAGAATGGAGGAGAAGGGATTGCGGTGTGGCCCTACCCCCCCGGGGGGTGATTTCTCGCTTTCTGTCTCTCTTTCTCTGTCTATCTGGCGAGCCCATGCACCCTATAGCAAAAACCTCTCTCCCCAAAAAAAGAAAAATTTGTACAGCCAGAAGGGTGGTGTTCATGGGAGGGACCCTAGACCAGGGCTTGGCAGGATTTGGGGCATCTCAGTTCTGAGCAGTGGAGGCGGAAGACGCCGGAGTTGGTGGGGTTGGGGCTGGGGGGCATCTGAAGTGCAGGTGAAGGGTAGGCACAGAGGCCTCTTGCTCCTTCTAGGACCCCCTCCCCTTCCTGGCTAGGGCTCGGGGTGAGGCGGCTTAGTACGCAGACTGTGTGTGTTGTGTTCGTGCTTCCATTTTACAGGGCTCATTCTGCATCTATGTGGAGAGTGGGTAGGAGGGCAGGAAGATGGCTGGGATGAGCCCCTAGCCAGTTCTCAAGCCATGCAGGGACAAGGGCACCGGAAGCGTCTCACTGTCCCAGTGCCACCAGTGGGTGAGTCAGTCCACTTGGCGTGGGCTGCCTAGGTGGTTTGTAGCCTGACTGCCACCTCAGACCCTGGGACTGTGGGGTGTGGCCTGGGCAGCAGCACCTGCCCTGCCCAGGGTCGTGGCCCAGTGCCCATCTGGCTTAGTCCCTCATTGTTGGGCGTTGCAGGGGAGGGGCCGTCAGACAAAACTGACCAGGAAAATACAAGGTGACAAGTGGGCCTCAGAGTCCCATAGCTCAGTTTGATTGTGACGCTGATGCCCCATAGGTTAGGGCTCCCCCTCCACGGTCTGGCCTCCCCTGCTCCTGACCAGCCAGCTGGAAGTTGGGTTCTCGGGACTCCCTCCTAGGTCCCAGCAAGCTGCTGAAAGGGCTCTCGGCACTCAGAAAAGCTCTTCACGTGTCGTGTTTGCAGGTCATCGTCAAGACACAGCTCAGGGCAGCAATGTGGCAGAGCTGCCTGGGCCAGGCAAGGGTGTGAGTGAGCCCCCTGCGCCTCCCTGCCCACCCCTGCCATCCCCGCCACTGCTGTCCCCTGCAGCAAGCTCCCTCGGGACAGGCTTTGTGGAGCTTAGTCTCCAGGCTCCGCCCACAGCCCCCGCTCCCTAACCTCTGGCCCTTGTGTGGCCGGCTCCATCCTAGGCACAGAACTCCACCCTAGTTCTCTTTAGCTGCTCCTGTCTGAGGGCTTCAGCAGCCCTGGGTGCCTAGCAGTGGCCATGGCAGGGACGCAGAGGCCACTGTGAGTGCAGAGGCCAGCACGGGTCTGCACAAGGAGGGCTGGAGAGACCAGCTGCCAGGTGGCCTGATCAGAGGTGGAGGCCCTGGAGGGGGTGGGTGCGGGGTCGCACAGGTGCTGGGGTTGTAGGTGCTGCCCTTCACTCCACCATCCCGGTCTCTCCTCCAACTGAAACTTTGTCACTGCGTCTCCGCAGACCACAACCAGGAAAAGAATCAAAGTAGTTGTGTCGGAGAGGCAGTGGGCGATGCCCTCAGTTCTCTTTAGTATGTCTACCTGTCAGCCGCCTTTTTATTGATTTATTTTTGGTAGAGGTTTTGCCTTACGGTATGTGCTCTCACCAGAGAGAGAGAGAGAGAGAAGAGAAGAGAAGGGAAGAGAAGAGAAGGGAAGAGAAGAGACAGGCAATGAAAGGGAAAGTGAGAAATCAGCCACCAGGGGGATGGCCACACCACAATCCCTTCTCTTCCAGTCTCCTCCTGGGACCTTGAGCACACACGCAGGTGTGCCTGGCATGAGTTTTAAGCCACCAGGTCTGGGACTTGAACTGCAGTCGGCCATGTGGGAGTCCAGCAACATAACCACTATGCCATCTGCTGACCCTGTTTTATTTTTTTAATTGCAAGCAGGCTTGTGTACTGGCCAGAGAGAGAGAAAGCATCCCCAGGGGGTGTAGTCATGCTGCAATCTTTTTTCCTCCATTTCTGCATTCATTCAGGACATAGGTATGTACACAGACCTGGTATGTTTTTAAACAACTGAGGTCAGGATTTGAACTGCACTTGCCCACGTGAGAGCCAGAGTTCTACGCACAGCACTTAACCTGTTGTGCTACTGAGCAGCCACACATGTAATTACTATTTTTCTTCCTTTTTGTTTGCTCCAGGGTGTGTGCACTCACAGAGAGAGACATAGAGACAGAAAAAATCCCGCCCCCGGGGATATGGCCATGCCACAGGCCTTTCTCCTCCGTTCTCCTCTCAGGATTTTGGGTACACACATACCTATACCTGGTGTGTTTTTCAAAGCGCTGATATGGGACTTGAACCATGAAGCTGGCCATGTGCCATCCAACTGCCTTAACCACCATGCTGCCTGGCTGGCCTTTCTGACACATAATTTTTTTTTTGAGAGGTTTTTGCTATAGGGTGTGTATGCTCGCCTGAAAGAGAGAGAGAGACAGAGAGACAGAAAGCGAGAAATCACCCTCCAGGGGGAATGCCCACACTGCAATCCCTTCTCCTCCATTCTAATCTTAAGATATCGCGTGCACACACACATGCGTGCGCACACACGCGCGCACACCTGGCTTGAGTTTAAGCTACCAGGTCCGGGACCCAAACTGCAGGAGAATACATG